GTAACCAGAATGGAGCATTTCTTTGTCTTAAATTGTAAATAGGAACATCTCCAGAATCTTCCATAAGAGCTCTGGATTATTATTTTTAAATATGGATTCCAGGCTAATGTTCTATATATAAAACTTTATATGTTTTCTTGCTTTAGTAGAGATGCTAATTTCCCCCTTATTAGTGGAATGAATAAAATGTGTGCAGACTGAAAGCAAGGAAACTGAGATTATAAACCACGGCTCCTGTGACAGTTTTTCAGAGGCTACTGAATATTTGTTTATATTATTTATATTCCCACCTTTATTATTTTTATAAATAACTCAAGGCAGCTAACATACCTAATACAGAATGCAGAATATCTTTCAGCAAAAGAAGCTTTCCAAAGCATTCCTTCTTGTAACCTAGCAAGTGGGCTGGACTCCTACTACCATTTTCCTGGGAAAGAGTAGGTTTTTGTGTGTGTGTCCTTAGATCTCTTATGATACATGACCGTGTATATTGTCTATTCTTCAGATTAAAGACTTGAAACTGAAGGTGCTTGACCTTAGGGGAAAATTCAAGCGTCCTCCCTTGCGCCGTGTCCGGGTGTCTGCAGATGCCATGCTTAGAGCTCTGCTTGGCTCAAAGCACAAAGTATCTATGGACCTGAGAGCCAACCTCAAGTCTGTCAAGAAGGAGGACACAGAAAAGGTCGGGGACTGGAAATCTCACCTATTGCCCTGTATATCACGTTTGCTCAGTGTCCCATGTACTTGCATTTTTTTTTATGTCATCCATGAAGAAATATGTTCTTGTGTTTTCTCTTGATTAATATTCTTCCATAGAGCCTCGTGATGGCCAGATGGGTGGCATATAAATTTAATAATAAATAGATAGATAGATAGATAGATAGATATTCCTTACCTTTAACAGTTCATAAATGAACATTATTAAATAGATTGAGGATTGTAAAAGGTATTATAGAACAGGAACTAAAATTAAGACAGCTTCTCCCATGAAGGATGAGAATTGTGAAAATTGTTGGAGAGCCCACTCATTAAAGTAAAATTGATAAGTTCCATATGATTTGCAATTCTCTATGCACCGCCAATAGGAACCAGGATTTTATCATGGAAGAAAACCACTGTATTTTATTGCATCTTCTAGACTGGAATTTTCTTGGTCTACAGGTAGTCCTCAGCTTGCAAACATTGGTTTAATGACTACTCAAACTTACACCGGCACTGAACAAAGTGACCTATGACCAATCCTTGCACTTATGGCCATCGCAGCATCCCCAGAGTTATGCGATCAAAATTGGGGTGCTTGGCAAATGGCATATATTTACAATACAGTAATTCTGCATCCCTGAGTCACATGATCACCATTTGCAGCTTTCCCAGCCAGCAAAGTCAATGGAGGAAGCCGGATTCACTTAATGACCATATGATTTATTTAACAACTGCAGTGATTCACTTAACAACCATGGAAAATGTTGTAAAGTCAGGCATGACTCACTTAACAACCACCTTGTTTAGCAATTGAAATTCTGGTTCCAGTTGTGGTGAACATTTGTAGATAAGAAACAGTTGAATATAGTACCTGATGAAAAAATAAAGAAAAAGGCAGATGGGCCATTGAAATATCTGTAACTCTTAAAGATGACAATAAAAAAGAGTTAAAGCAAGCCAGAAATGAAGAAATATGTTACTGTCAGGTGACTTAAACAAAGGGTTATCAAATCTATAGATGGGTTTTAGCATACCAAACATTGCCAGCTATGCATAGGAGCAAGTGATGATATGAATGTTTGCAAATATCATTCCGGGATAACTAGTCACTCAATACACAGAAAATAATTTTCAGCAGCCTGTCATGGATAACATAATTCAACCACAGAGATCAACACTTTCTATTTATTATATTGATTCCCTTGGATGAAAAGTCAGTGCTTAGACCAGTTTTGCAAGGATATTGATGAAGGAAATAAAAGGTTTAATGATTCAGGCCTTTTTCTTTATTACACATAGTAATAAATCTGAAAATAGATCTGAAAAATGTTAGCATATGGTAAATTCCAGACAGAGCTAACCTGGATACAGGCATATATTCCAGTGCTTAAACAGTACAGTTTCGATTTAAATTAGAAGATGCTTTGATTCTGTCCTTTAAATCTTGGTTCGTATATTCATCTTTACTTCCTGAATACCAAAGACTGTTTTTTTTTAAATAACTCTTTTTGAAGAGTTTATTGGTGCTCAGCCTGTCTAGATTCTATTTTCTGCATATATTAATGTATGCCAGGAAACCTGCCAGTACAATATACCCTTATGGAACCCTTCCTATATTAACTATATTTATAAAAGTTTAGTCATGTGACCTTACATTGTATTCCTCACCTTTCTGTTCCTATGGCATATACAGAGTGTATATCTTCATCTCTACTTGTATAAGTTAGCCCTTTGCTTATGTTCCTCCTCAAGTAAGGACTAACGTCTTGGTTTCCTTCACAGGAACGTCCAGTAGAAGTGGGTGACTGGCGTAAGAATGTGGAGGCCATGTCAGGAATGGAAGGCAGGAAGAAGATGTTTGATGCTGCCAAATCACCAACAGGACAATGAGAAGTATGCCTTTCCCCCAATGGCATCCTTTTAAAATATTTTATCAGTTTTGTGCAGCATTGCTAAAGGTCCCAAACTCAAAGGGATTACGGTGCCTGATTAACATTTCCAATGCTAAGATCTTGGATACAACTGATTTAATGGCCAATTCAGTATAAAAACATCAGGCCTTTATCTTAGCACTAATCAGCCCTATCTACTTACCTGAAATAGTTCTTTGGAGGAAATAACATATTTTCGGCCAGGCAGCAACTGAGTGAGATTGGTTGGCCTCAAAAATCTAAGCAGAGTCATACCTGAGAGATCACCAAGAAATACTAGCACAGGTCAGGCTTGAAAATAAAAAAACAAATAGTCTTAAAAGCAGTGGCAAATTACTTCTTTGTTGATGTCAAGAATTCTACAGGAATATTTCCCTGAAGTCATCATGAATCAGGGTTACTTGAAGAAGACTTTAATTTATTTATCATATTGGATTTTCTATAAGGTTCATTGTGGTTTTGCACCTTATCTTAATTTTAAAAGAATGATAGTGTCAGAACTTTAGAAATAAGAGGTATACCGTCATGCCATCTGAGCATGAATAACCCATTAGAACTTTGACTTGCTGACTCAGTTATGGACATTCCAATTATGGCATAATGGCTGAATGTCAGAGAAAATAGCCATACAATAACTTTTCTGAAACATGTATTTTGTCTTGGGCACAAATCTACACTCTTGTTTGTGCTTTGTTTTCTATGCAGTTTTAGAAACAAATCTCAACCATGTCTACTAGAGCAAAATAATATTTTTTTGATTTCTAGTCCTAACCCTAGCCAGTTTCCCAAATAATCCAATTTCTAATCACAAAACAAGAAATGCAGTTCACTGCTATGCACTTTCCTTAGAAATATACAAAATGGAGGTGTACAGATCTTGTAAATCTTCTCTTTCTTTTTTGCAGAGTAAAACTATCTGTTGGCAAGCTCCTTAGTGTCCATTGCAAGGCTAAATAATTGACCATTGGTTTGGGCAAGGGAAAGTTGTAACCTTACAAACTTAAGCCTCATTGTAGTGCTGACCTTTTCTCATTTATCCAAAGACTTAAATGCGAATTTGTGGGATGGTTTAATAAACATACAAGTCAGTTTGTTCTTAAGAAGATACATTTTTTCTTAGTGAAGCATAATGTATGGGGTAATTTAAAAAAAAACATACCTTTTCTTAATTTCTTACTGCTCCCCTTCTGTCTGGTCCTTGCTGGTTTCATATGATAAAGATTGTGTGCATTTTACATGTTCATTGCTTTCTGTATTGCTATACAATTTGGTTGCAGTTATTTATTCTGATTTCTTAATATGCATTTATGTATTTGATGGTGTAACAGCTATGGTATAGCACAATAAAACAAGCAATAACAGATGTTTGTAGAAAATTGTGTGTTACCCACTGCAGAAACTAGTGCCCTATATTATGAATATTCCTCATGAATATTCCTAACTCTTCATTTCAATCATGGAAATCATTTTGTTTTTGTTATTTAACTTTGGTCCTTACAAGTCACAGTTTGACTATGACAGCATGTGTTTTTTTTTCAGCCCAGATGTTCTACTGTAGGTGTTTTTCCTAGAGTTCTATAATGTAATTAACTATTATTCTGCTTTTTCTATTTATTTCAGGTCATATTTCTTTCATAGAAACATGAAGAGCCCTTCCATAGAGCCTACATGCATCACTTTTTTTTTTCTTCTTGGTGCTTCCTGTGTCTCATTGTTTTTCTGCATTATCTATTGTCCCACAGCATTTTTGGACATTAGGGAAGGTTTTATTACAGGTAGTTCTTGACTTACAATAATTCATTTAGTGACCATTTGAAGTTACAATGGCACTGGAAAAAGTGACTTATGACCATTTTTTACACTTATAACTGTTGCAGCATCCCTGTGATAGTGTGATCAAAATTTGGACACTTGGGAAATAGCATGTTGCAATGACAGTTTATGACAGTTGCAATGTCATGTGTTCATCTTTTGCAAACCTTTGACAAGCAAAGTCAATTGGGAAGTCAGATTCACTTAGCAACTGTGTTACTAACTTAACAGCTGCAGTGATTCATTTAACAACTATAGCAAGAAAAGATGTAAAATAGGGCAAAACTCAACTCAACAACTGTCTTGCTTAGCAACAGAAATTTTGGGCTGAATTGTGGTCATAAATCAAGGACTACCTGTACTGCAATTCATGCCATCAGGCCAACAGGAACACTTGCTTTCTTGCTAGCACATGTCCACACAATGATTATTGCCACAATCTGTCAGTACAGTACCATCTCTGCCATACAGAAAACATGGGAATTCTGAGTTGTTGGCATTTGAAATGCAGAAAGAAAGCTGGTTCTTTATCTGACATCATCTCAGATCAGACCTTTGCTCAAGAGATGCCATCACCTACTGATTGAAATGCAGCCCAGACTGTAACTACAGAGGCTTTGATGCTTGCTTTATTCAGCAAGAAAATCTTTCGACCTGTTCCATGATATATAATTTGAGATATGCAACTATACTTTCTCTGTATTCCATTAAAGAAAAAAAATGAGTAGCATCAAGAACAAATATTCAGATTCTGTGTTTCTTTTGGATTTTCCAAATAATGGTGGATGGACTGTATTGTTGCCTGTAATATGAAATTTAATGGCGAATATCTGTAGCTCGGGTGTAGGATGAGGGCGAAGGTTCGTTCTCCAAGCTTGTGGGTTGGTTTCCGAATGTTTTGTTACCAAGCTAACTAACATCTTCAGTGGAGTTTAGGGGATGTCAGTGTCAGTGTTCTTCTGTTTATAAGGGCTTCAGGTGTAGGTGGGTCAGACAACATCTTCACCTGACACACCCACACCGGAAGCCATTATAAACAGAAGAACACTGACACTGACACCCCTTAAACTCCACTGAAGATGTTACCTAGCCTAGTAATGAAACATTTGGAAACCAGCCCACAAGCTTGAGGAACAAACCTTCACCTTCATGAAGTTTAACTGTGGTGGAGGTTCACGACCTGTATGTAAGCCATTGTAATTTCCACATTGCCAGTTCTCATAGTGGTTTTGTAAAATCAGTTGGGTTTAGCTCTACAGTTCATGCTACAGTTGGTATTTCTTTAGACATATAAGAAACAATATTTCTACCAAGTCATACACAATGTTGTCTGGCCCATTAAGATTTTTCCCACCTGAATTATTTGCCCAAAATGTATTTCAAGTGGGCAGACCTATCAAGTAGATAGAGCTATCAAATAAAATATATAGTTATCCTGCTTCTATATTGTAGTTGTCTGAACACCTTTTTCGGACATTGATTTTCACTATAGAAATTTGACTACATTTGACTATATTGACTATTGAACTGCAAAGCTTTTAGTTATGTGGACAGAACAATAATGACTGTGGTATTGACAATAGAATTTCCTGATGTTTTGCTGGCATCTGTGGCTGGCATCTTCAGAGGCAAGGTGGTCTGCTACAAGAGGCACTGCAGATTATGACCAATCAGAAGCCAGCATGAACAATCAGGATCAAACAGCACTAAAACCACCAATTAGGATTGGCACAACAAAGAACCAATGTGAGACTAGCCTTCACCAACCTGCACCAAAAACAAACCAGTTTGGCTAAAAACCAACCTGGTCAGGTCATTTGGCTTTAAAGACAGCAGCCCAGTCAGTCCCTATTCAGTTGCCTTTGTCTATGATTGCCTTTGAGGATGCCAGCAATAGTTGCTGATGAAATGCCTGGAAACTGCTAGTTAGATGATGGTCATTAAATCCTGAAATTCAATATTGTTCCTCCAAAACCATCTTTTCCCCCCTAAGGTCCTGCATGGACCTTATAAATTCAAAGTGCCAGTATGGTGCAGTGGTTAATGTGTTGCAATAGGAGTAGGAAGACTAGGTCCTTGTCTTCCCTCAATCACGAAACTTGATTTAGTGACCTTGGTACAGCCATTCTCTCTCAGTCCAATCTTGCAGGCTCCTTGATGCGTAAGTAAACTCTGGCTATAGCTCAGTGCCCTTTTATAAGTGTGCTATCTGCCCTGAAAAAAGTGTGCTATCTGCCCCTAATATACCTGCCCCAAAGTAAGCTGTAGTCTAGCAACTGGTTATATTCCTGTGGCAACCAGCTTGTGATTGGGCAAGGCTTCCTCTGCAGCCAGTTTGCAAGAGCACCTATAGCAACTTCTCAAAATAGCAGAATGGGTCTTCCATCCTAAAAAACATTCAAATCCCAAGTCTGGTCTGTTTCTAAAAGTTCATTTTGAATTTATATACAATGTAAATAATGAAGTAAATGTAATTCCAGATGTTACCAGTTGATGGCACCACCACATAGGTTCTGTATACTGAACTATTATAGTTGCTTGGACAAAATTCCTGTAACATTTTGCTCATTGCAAAATGAATGCAGCGTCAGCAGATCTTAAAATAGTGATGGTATCATCTTCTGTTAGAAACAGAACAGCGGACAGCGGCGCAACAAGTGTCAGAGTGTGGGAGGCCTGGCTATGGCGGTCCTTAGGTAAGTGGGTAAGAGATCCCCCAAAATAAGATAGTAAGAAAATATCCCCCTGGTGCCTCTTTTGGATGCAAAAAAGTTATAAGAGCGGGTCTTATTTTTGGGGAAACACAGTATGCAATAATTTTGTTCCCCTCCAACTACAAGTAGAGAGGAAGGGAGAGAAATATAAAAAAAATCGAATCATATTGACTATTTTTTTGGTCTAGCCAAGTGAATACAAGGATCTTTTTTGGCTTTTAAAGATGCTCCTGCTAAAATGACATACCCAGGGCTTTTTTTGTCACAGAACGCCCAGAACGGAGTTCCGGTACCTTTTTTGGATGGAACCTTGTAGGGTAGGCAAGGCGGGTTGTATGACGTGTGTGAGTTCCAACACTTTTTTTTTTTTTTTTTACAAAAAAGCACTGGACATACCATTCCATTTAAAAAAATGACTTTTTATAGCTCTCAAATGAATCGATAAAATAACAAAATATGATTTATCAGTGTTTCAACATTTAGACATATTTTTAGTCTAAAAAATGTATATGGCAACTCATCTTATATACATCTTAGGGTGGTTTACAAGGACATAATAAAACATAAAATAGCAATAAACCCAGATTTGAAACAATTTATGGTGCCCAAAACAAAAATTCCCATACATCAACATTCATCTTAGCCCAAAGCTTGTTGGAAGAGCCAGCCTCTCAAGGGTAAGGAGAGTAAGGAGGGTGGGAGCTTGCCAGATATTGAGGGTAGTGTATTCCAGTGGGCTGGAGCAGCTACGGAGATGAGCTTCCAAGGTCTGCTAGAAGTATTTTAGAAATACTTCTGCTAGAAGTATTTGGAGTGCGCCCACGTTATTTGATTTATAGAAAAGGCAGATTTCCACAGGGAGAGGTGGTTCCACAAATAACCTGGTCCCATGCCTTTAAAGATGATAATCAGCACTTTGAATTGCACCTGGAAAGAAACTGGAGCCAGCACTGCTCACATAGCACCAATATAACATGATGAATTCTGGGGTCTTCGAGGCTGGGCTACTTGTAGTTTTCAATTTATTATATCTGGGTGAAGAAGCTGTTTAAGTCCTGTGCTAATTTCCGCCTTCTAATGTTGCATATCTTGTTTAGTAAACAAAGGTTTCTAGTCTCAGAGTGGATCATTTTGAGGACTAGGTTTAAGGAAACTTTGCTCTTAATTGGTCCTACGCAGCTTTTACTTCATCCGGGCACTTTGCCACAAACCACAGTAGATCAGCTTTTGCCTATTGGGCTGAAGTTTACCAGTAACTAAGTTCACAGAATTCTTTGTACCTTGTGGGAAAAAACAATGCTTGTACCTCATTCAGCAGGAATGCCAGTGTAACATGTGCCGGTAGTTACTCTGGTTTACAAGGCATATTATTCTCTTCTGTTTGCACTGTATTTCCAACTAATAGTATTAGAAAATTTACTACTATTCATACTTCCATTTTAGCCAAGCCAGCTGAGAATTCTGCGAGTTGTAATTCCAAGACGTGAGATGCAAGAAAATAAAATGGCGGTACAAGTAATTTTGGAAAGAACATGCATTTATTTCAAATACACGTACTTAAGACATGGAAATCAAGGGATGCTATCAGAGACTTTATAGCAGCATTTTACAAACTCAGCAACTTAAGATGTGTGGATTTCATACCCCATAATTCCCAGCTAGCTTTAAAGTTGCTAAGCTTGAAAAACGCTGCTTTATAGTGACCCATCAAGATACAGAACAAGGAAGACCAAGGGGAAACATGCACAAGCTCTAACTTCATGGTGGTCCTTTTTCATGTCTCGGAGCAGCGTTGGATGTCTGCTTGTCATGCAGATCTAGAGCATGGTATAAAATCATGGAAGATTATCTTCTAAACTGAGAGAAAAAAAAATCTTCCTGAGAAGAACAGCTAGGATTCTTTCCAGCACATGACAGATGTCAAAAAAAGTGGTAGAGGGGGTGAGGCCCAGCTGTGTTGCCAGAGTTAAAGCAGCTGTAGGCAAGATGCCCTTTGGGAATCCTCCTCTCCAATTGCTGGAGTCTACTCTATTATTTTTGTCACACATACCCCTCTTGCCTCCAACATTTCCTCATCCAGGAGCTTCTCCCTCACCCCAGCATGCTTTTTCATCTCCCTCTATTTTTCTCTTCCCTACTATTGCTGCAGAATGGCCCT